GACATCCTGGTGCCCAGCACCCCTGGGACACCCCTCCTTTGGCAGGGCCCCGGGCGGCAGCATCCCTGAGCCGTGAGGGTCCCCATGTCACCTACCAGGGTGATGAGGGTCCCCGAAGGGACGGGATCCCCACAACCCTGAGCCACCCCCATCTCAACCCCCAGCCCGGGGTGAGAAGGGTCTCCATGTCCCTCCCTGTCCCTGGGTCCTCACCTCCAAGGGCTTTTGTGTCTGTTTTTGGAGGGTTCTTTTGCTATTTTTTTTGCTCCTTTCTAATTTATTTGCTGTTTTTGAGGGGGGGAGCCACTGCTGTCACCTACTGTCCTACTGTGTAGGACCAAGGCTCGGCCCTGCGCTGACCATGCTAATTAAAGACACGTTGCTCCCTCGCTGGTGCCCATCTGGCTCTGTCCGGGATGATGGGATGAGAATGGGGTGAGAAGGGACCACCAGGCCCCTGACCCCACCTTTGGGACAGGCTGGAGGGCCAGGCTGGTGGCCCTGGGATGTCCCTGCAGAGATGGTGGCACATGAAGGGGTTGACGCCAGGGGTAAAGGAAAGCTGCTCACAGGTTGTGGTGTTTTATTACAAAACATGGTACAAAACCCCCCCAAAAGTATAAACGTTGGAATTTCTGCATTTCCAAATGTTTTCCCTCAAGTAGGAAAGGGGGCTCCTCATCACAGCAGTAATGGGGATCCCCCCAGTAATGGGGATTGCTGTGAAGCAGCACTTTCTTCTGTGCTAAAGACCCAGCACTGTGCCTGGCACGGGTGAAACAAGCTGATAAAGGCAAGATTAAAGAAATAATCCGATTTGGCACCAAAAGGGTCCTTGTGGGCACTGGGGCGGGTGGGATTTGGGATGAGGAACACCCCAGGGACCCGCTCACACTCAGCTGAACTCCCAGGGCTTGTTACTCTCCTTTGGGGTAATTCAGTTCTGCTTCCATGACCTCCTCTGCTCATCCCCATCATAACACCCTGCTTCTGATTTAGGGTAATGGGAACTGGTTAGAGCTGGTGACTGTGAACAAGAGGGAAATGCTCAGGGGAGGCCTTACAGCAGGTCTTAAGGCTCAGGATAGACCTTCCAATACCTAAAGGAGCTGACAAGAAATCTGGAGTGAGACTTCTGATAAGGGGGAATGGCTTCAAACTGGTAAAAGGGGAGATTGAGACTAGATATTAGGAGAAGTTCACTCCAAGGGTGGTGGGACACTGGCACAGGGTGCCCAGAGAAGCTGTGGCCACCCCATCCCTGGCAGTGCTCGAGGCCAGGTTGGACAGAGGGGCTTGGAGCAACGTGCTCTAGCGGAAGGGGTCCCTGCTCGTGGCAAGGGTTGGAGCTGGAGGAACTTTAAGGTCCCTCCCAACCCAAACCACGCTATGATTCCATGATCCATGTCTAATCAAACCCAAACTGGTTCAATTAGCACCACGCCACCTCCTCCACCGAGCAGGAACAACCTGCATTCATGTGAAGTCCACGACTCCTGCGTTAACATCCCTGGGATACGTGCTGGGATTCTCCCACCCGCAGAAGCACGCAGGGGATGTGATCCCAAGCTTGCAGCAGAGAGGAGGTTGGGCTGGATGTGTGGGCAGAGGGTAGCTGGGCTGCTTTGCCTCACTAACAGCTGCCTTTGAGAGCCAAAGAGGTTTTTTAGCCTTTAACCTCCTCGGATCCCGTGCTCGCCGTGGAAGCAGTGTGGGGATGGAGGCGTGGGCCAGAAAAACCCTGACCCAGCAGAATCTGGCCTGGACTCTGGTGGGAGGCTGTTTACCCGCTCAGAACAGCCCTGCCTGACTCTGCACCCAACACAAAACTGCTGGTCTTGGCTTAAAAAGCTCCTAATCCTTTCTGTGGAGGAGCAGAGGACGCAGCCAGGTTTAAATTCTTTCTAAACACTGGGGGGAGAACAGATTCTCCTCATCTTTGTTCAGAACCTGTATGCTCAGACCCTGTTCATGTTTTCAACATCAAATAACTGTGTGATTCCCCCCACCAAGGCAGTAAGAACACTGTCAACTGTATTTGTGCCAGCTCTATCACCCAAATCCCGTCACTGTAAGTGCCACTGGGGGGTTTCTGTTGGTGGTGGTTTGGGTTTTAGTCTGTTTCTCAGATGAAGGGACTTTTTGGCAAAACTCACCCTCTTCAGGAGAAGGATGGAAGTAACTGAGAATTGAGGACAGCTGAAGTCACAACACAGTGCTTATATACATGTAGCTACAGACTGTATATAAACACAGTGTTGATACACAGCTGCTGAGCCCTTCAAATTCATCAACACTAGGCACAAATTTCAGGCAGAAGGTAAAGGCCAAAGTTGACAGTGTCCCTTTGCATCCATAAACACTTCCAGGGTTGGAAGAATCTGCCTGGATTTACTTTAATACCAATGTGTACCCTCTGACGCAGATTTTCAGTTCAAACAGACCCAAACTGTTGATGTTCTGGGGAACAAATTAAGTTACTGCATGTCTGAGGTGAGCAAGGACCCGCTGATGTGATCAGTAACCAGGAACCCCAAGTATCTCCAAACACTCCTTCATACAAAATAATTATTAAAGCCTTCTTCAAAACATCTTTTGGAAGAAAAAAGATTAAAAAAGTCTTCTTTATAAATAGAGCTACATGGGTTATAAATAAATGCACTTGGATTCTCCAACCCCTCCAGTCTCACCAAGCCTTTATGACAATAGGGTCAGAAACCCTCGTCTCCTACCGCTCGCTGGTGAGCCCGATAGTGGAATGCTGTGGAACGTTCCTGAAGACAGGATTTTGGCAGATCCTGCCTTCCCTTCAGGCCCAACTGCCTGGAACACACTGGTTTTAGGATGAAAAGCAGTTTGCTCTTGGGGCAATTCCTTCAGAGCTGTGATGGAATTCCTTCAGAACCTTTCTGAACTCATTAGTCCGTACTCCATCTCCGACATCAGGATATGGACTGATCTAATGGCAAAGAAACATGAACAAAGGCAGTACCCGAACCAAGAGAAAACCACTCTTAGCCCAACACACTTGGAAATAACAGGGAAAAATGCAATGCAAGACTGGGAAAACAAATTATTAACCTGGAATCCTGACAGTGGTTCCAAAACTGGAACAAAAACCCCATAAAAATCAACCCCCAAAGCAGTAAATGAAGGGCCAGAAGAATGAGAGATTTCATCTTGCAAGAAGCCACTCCCAGAGCAGGCAGGGCCATGGCCTCGCTGCTGCAAGCCCCTCTTCACCCTTAGAACCTTCCCGTGACTGACAGCCCAGCTTGTGTCACAGGATTCCTTCCAACCCTCAGTTGTTTGTGGTGTTTTCCTAAACCTCACTTGATGAGCATCCATTAGGAAGCTCCACGTGATTACTCTGGGCCCTTCCGATCAGTTCCTGGCTTTTGAAGCTCACAATCTGCTGGACTAAAGAGCTCCCTGCACTAAAGAGGCCTGCAAAGAGCAAACAAGGCAGGAAGATTTTGGTAACAAGTTCAGCTGCTTCTTAAAGAGGGCTTTAGTTCCCTTAAAAACTGCTTAGGACAAAAGCGACGTTTCTATCTCCAGAGACAACTCCTCACCCAAGCTGTGAGCAGCAGCCACTGTATGCAGAGTTCTGCACATAAAATCAATGCTACACAAGTGTCAAACAGAACATGTGACAAATATCCTAAAATTTAGGAGGCATTTTTTTTGGTGATCCCTTCAGGCTGTGAAAGGGTCAAAGAACTTCCCCCAAACTGTTCCTGAAAGAAGGAGGAGGAAGCATTGCATTCCCTGACAGCACAAGATGCTCTGGCTGACAGACATTCATCCCTGCCTTTACTCTTGCATTGAGGGTCGCCTCAACCAAAAAGCTAAGATTCGTGAGTTTGGATGAAAAACCATGGAATTCCCTTTCTGGCTAAAAGGGGAAATCCCTTCCACACCTCTGAAGGTTTTTAAAGCAACACCCCAAGAGACTAGTTTTACTGAAGGTCCAGATCTGGTCACTCGACTTCACAGAAGGGAGTGAACACCTCAGATTATTCCAGAAAGCCTGTTTGCAGTGCTCTAATTTCCAGGCAGCTGAAAGCTAATACCAGCTGCTTTGGCAAGGAGGTGTTTCCTTCCCCCTCCCCAACAATGCAGGTATTGACATCACAAAGTAAGCCGTCAGGTCACTCGCCGGTTAAAATGTTGTTTAAAAGCTTCCAGTTTCTCCAAGTGAAGCTTTAAAAGCACCTTTGGCACCGTGCTGAAAGCAGAGTTATGTTGCAGGTGGCTGGAGAAGCTCCTGCCCCTGGAGATGGGGTGGCTTTGACAAGAGCCCTGTGCACACACCAACGGCTGCCCAACAGCACCTTATTTAACAAACCCACCCCATCATTTTCTCCTTTACAAACCCCAGGATTAGGAGGTTACAGTCTCCACGGCAGCATCAGTCGACTGATCCGTTCCCAGCATGGACAACACGGATTCCTTGATGTCTTCTGAGGTTACCACAAGTGGGTCAAGCTGGGTGACCTGCTCGAGCACTGCCTGCTCCGTGGGGCTGGGCTGCTGCCTGCCCATGGCTGCCAGCTTCAGCCGATACTCCTCTGCCTCTTGCTCCTTCTTCAGCAGCTGGCTGCGATATTCCCGAGCTTTCCGGTTTGCCTCTTGCAGCTGCTGCTGTAGCACTTCCCTCTCAACACTGTCCTACAGAAAACAAAGTTGAGAGAGCCCATGGTGGAGGCCCAACCTATGACAGGAAGGAAAAGGGGTGTGCGAGCACCCCAACAGCTGGAGTTAGGAAAGCAAAGTGCTCTAAGGCAGCGCTAGAAACATGCTTGGGTCGAGCTCTAGTCACCTGGCTTGCTCACCAGAGGCAATGGGAAGGCACAAACTAGTTGCTCATTGTCTGCACAGTGTACAGGGAGGTGGGCTGGGAATGATCTGACTGTGATGAATTTCGAAGGTTGGCAGGAGATTGATGTAAGAAAAATACAGATCTGAATAACAATAAAGTGCTGAGAAGCTGAGAGGCAATTGAGAAAAATGTTCTTCCTCCCAGCAGAGTGATGGGAGAGTCATTCCT